ACACCATACCGACGTTTGCATTTTTCATGGCAGGACAGGCAAGTCTATAAAAGGCATGTTTGTTTTTCCTGGCTGTTTCAAATATGTATTTCCTGGAGGACTTCACATCTAATGGGGTCATCAGAAGCACATGTGCGATTTACATCTTTCCAACTGATTTCTCCTTTCCCTGCTTCCCTTAGCAGTCCTGTTTGCTACGTAACATTTTACCTGTCCACCTTAGCTCCCACTATCTTCTCCACTTTCCGCTGAGAAACGGTCCCAGACTCTTGGTAAAGCCCTAATCTGTTTTCGTGCATCTGTCTGATTTTAAAAAACGAGTCTTTTTTTTTTTTTTTTTTTTTGGTAGGAGTGACAGCAGGGTTCACAACAGTGAGTAACTCGCTGCTTTGAAGCACGGTAAACCCAGCGGCCCCGACTCCACATTCCCTCTCGTCCTGTGTAGACGGTGCCATTCACTCCCACCAGTGGGGAGAGGGCGAGACTTGCCTCTTCAGCACATTGGCACTCGATTTAAAGGCGAATTTAATATTTAGCACTGGAGGTGAAGAGTTCTCCCTCGGCGACCAAAAACCAACCAAACAAAAAACCCTCCCATTTACTTAAATGGGAACAAGATGGACCTTCTCCCCGCGCAGTGAGCCTCTTTCCCCCGTGCAGAAAGGGGAAGACTTGCCTTTTAGCCCCGCTCCCCTGAACGAAATGGGAAGAAGCTGATCACTCAGCCGTGCTCCTAAATTTAAATATGTGTTTTTCCAAGCCCCAGAGCTACTCTCCTTCAGACAAAACCCTCACCTTTTCCTTGTGTGCTGAAGGACTCAGTGTGTTTTTCTTGGCTGCCTGAGCCGCAGCATTTTAATTCACTAAGCAGAGAACGCTAAAGAGTTCTGCAGTGAGGGGTAGTGGCCAGTATTTTCATCGCCACCCCCCTACATTGTATGTATTGTATTTATCATGCTCAAGTGAGGGTTTGTTCAAGTCAAGAGGCTGCTTATACCGGGCTGCATTTGTTTCTCCTAAAGAAGGCAATAGATTTTATTTCTGGGTCTGGTAACAGGAGCCCGAGTGCCTTACACAAACATCTCTGGGCAGGCAGTGTCACTTGCAAGTCTTTTCACTCCGGGGCTGCAATAGCCCCCTCAAAGGCAGACTGAGGCTTCAGTTCGACCCAAACTCCTGAGCCAAGGGGCTGCGGGGGGAGGCGGGGAGGAGAAGAGGGAAAGAAGCTTTATTCGGGGGTAGCCCACAAGAAATATGCCAAGCAGCCGACTTCTCCCGTGTCGGTCATCTGTAAAATGGCTTAAACTATCTAAAGGGAAACGCGGCAAGGCAGCCTTTGGTAGGTGAGGCTCGACTGTGTTTTCCAGAGGGCCCAGCTCACCCCCAAGCGTAGGTGGCCCTGCCAGGGCTTTGCAAGGGGCAAGCGTTCAACCAGATGAATAGCAAGCTCCGGGCTTAAGTTCTGGCTCCCGGACTCGCCGGGATGGCTCTTACCCCAATAAACTTGCTCCCTGTCCCGAGTAAAGCGGCTTGGTCCCCTTCGGGGTCTGTGCTACGTGCGCAGAGGTCGGTCAGGATGGTCGCCCTTCACATCCACCACCTGCAAGGTGACGAACTACGCCTCGGCACGACAGCCATTACCGTTGTCGGTCTCCAACGTGCAGTTTCTCTCACAGCTCCTCACTACAGCACCCGGGAAGTTAACTCTCAGGTAATGAAGTGCAGGGTTTCCCGGCAGAACGATTCTGCTCTACTACCCAATGAATATTCAGCGCCCTGCTGTCTACAGAAATTGCTCTAGTAATAATCCCGAGGACTGTGTGTGCTTTATTCATTATGTAATTTGATAAGATTTTAGTTTGAGGGCAAATATCACACACATATACATACACACACACACACACACACACACACACACGTATGTGTATATGTGTGTATATACACACACGTACAAGTGAAAGAGAGGGGGATTCTGCCCCTAGGTAAGTGCTATTTTGCCGGGGGAGGGCCATACCGTGGCGATGGAGGTGGCCGGTGGCCTGGGCGCCCCGCGGAGCAGCCCCCCGCCTGCCCCGGCGCGGCAGCGGCGCGGCCCGTGGGGAAGAGGGTCTTCGCAGGGGGGGCTTTGGCAGGGCGCCCCAATATTATATTTTCTTTGCTCTTAAAAGCCAGGGTTTCATCAAACCCTGCTGTGCTCAAGGGGCTCAGCTGTGCGGTTTGCCTCGCCGCCCCCGCCGTGCTGCAGTAACCAGGGGGAGTTTTCAGGTATCCCTATGAAGCCTGCTGGATCCGGATCTTCCTGTCATTTACGCCCCGAAACCTGCCCGGGTACCCTGCAAACAAACAGCCCTGAGATGAGATATGCCCCATGTAACATAATGCTACTGAATCATAACTAATCTTTTAAAACCAAGGATTAGTCACGTCACTTTCGGCATATTCCTCTATCGGGAACGTTTTTTGTGCGTGGAAAATCGGGGGGATTTGGGCTAATTTACCAAACATCATTACTAAGGCAAGTACAGTCTGATAAAATGAGTTTTAACATGTATGGGTTTTCAGGTTGCATTATACACCTCCCATCATCTTGGCTTTAGGCTGCGTGCGCCCTTAATGCCACATTGATCTTTTCTTTTCTTTTCTTTTCTTTTCTTTTCTTTTCTTTTCTTTTCTTTTCTTTTCTTTTCTTTTCTTTTCTTTTCTTTTCTATTTTCTCTGTATGATTTCTTTTTCTAGCTCCCTTTAATTGACTTCAGTGTCTCCCATTCTCTTCCTTTCTCTGTTTATAAGCGATCCTCTCTGCAAATTACAGGAGTTTTCATCGCCCCTCGATTTCAAAAGGCCTTTCTCACCCTGTCAGCCATTCATTTACTTTCCCCGATCGAATTCTGCCTCCTCTGTGCAATATGACCTTTTATTAACCACGTAAACCCCATCCTGTTTTCATACTGCCTCTTTAAATGTTCCCCATCCTGGCTTTAGTCTTTCTCTAATCTTTTAATTTTTTTTTTTTCTCCAGCGGGCAAAGCCTTAAGGCTTTATTTCGGTTTCGAGGCCATGTTTTATTAACCCAGTCATTCTGTTTTTCTTCGCTGATCCCAAACTTATCTCTATCTCTAAAAATACAATATAATTAACTAGTCAGTTAATTCATTCTTTGCAGAATTGCACCGCTGCATGTGTTATTTTACAGGGAGCAGGAATCTTCTGTAGTCCTAGGAAGCAGTGGTTCCTACACTGGCCAACTGTTTATTTCCAAAGGATTAAAATTCATAGTTAAAATTACTAGGTGCCCATCAACGGAAATTACAGAATCTGCTATTTAGAGTCTAGTGCACTCACGCACACACTGATGCGTACCCACAGGCGAGTCAAAGGAAATATCATCTGTGCTGTTGAAAAGTTACCCCAAGGAGCAGAACCAGGAGAAACGTAAAGCTGAACACACTGCACTACCTAAGTAGCGTCTCCTCTACAACTTAGCGACATTTTGTTTACTCACTGCATCCCAACACAACGAGATCACTAAGTTTATAACCACGGGCAAGGGACACCTTTTTCGAGGCCGATCCTCACCCTTACCGAAGTGCATACCCTCACTTCTATACACGCTAATGGGGCCCTCAGAGAAATGCTTTTAGCGGACACTCACAAACGCATTTAGGTGCTAATCCAGCTCCAGCTTATATCAAATTAGGACATTGCCCACACAAAACTCCTACTGATTGAAATTTCAGTCAGCGTCTGAAACCTGGACACGATCTTTGCTGATCTATACATATTTCTTCAACGCTTGAAGCCATATCGTCTTCCCGGTTTATTTTTCAGAAGAAATTCACTTTAGGGGAAAAAAAAAACCCGCACACACACACAACAGACCGTTGCTATCTTTGAGGAACCTTTTAAACGCTCGGATTGAGCAAAGAGTTGGTAGCGAAGGCGCAGGCATCCCTGGGCGAAACGCTGTGCAGCCGCAGACTGGGGAAGCAAAAGGCGCTATCTCACTTGGCTTTCAACTCTGCCGATCTCTGCAAAGTAATCAGCCTCAGCTCTTATATTTTAATGAAGCAACCTTGCGAGCAACGCGCCTGCCTCTACCATCGCCCT